TGAAAGAGGGAATTCCAACACATGGGTGAGAAGGAAATGTGTGTGTGTGTGTGGGAGAAACCCAGCAAGACTGGGTTTTGGGGGGCCTTGAGCAAAACCGTCTGTGGGTCACCCAGCCTTTCCCTAACCCCCAGTTCCCATGCCATGCCAAGGTCTAAGAATATTTACAGCTGGAAAGAACAGATAAGAAAGCCTAATGCAGATTCCAGAAACATGAAGAGACTTCTAAAAATGTCAACTTCCCTTATGTATTTGTTTAAACACACAATCACACAAATATGTGTGTCTCGCCCATGTTGTTGAAGAACTGTTTTAAAATATGCTGGTAGGATTTCTTTTTAAAAGTCAAAACAAGAGGTGGGGGGGAGGAGAAGCAGCAGCAGCCGCAACTTGCAATCCGTTATTGTACTTTTTCACTTACAGATTTGTTTCTCGGATATATTTGTACCACAGCTTGCCAAAAGTGAGTCTCACCTTTTGTTCCCAGGGTTAGCTCTGTAATATGAAAGCGATGGAAATGTCTCTCTTTGATAAAGTGGGAATACGTGGTGCTTGCACATGGATGAAAATACAGTCCCTTAGAATAGGGGTTCCCAAACTTTTCGACTTGGGGAGCCCTTATTTTTATGGTGGAGACCCTAAGAGGTCTACCCTACATTCTTAGTCTTTAATTTCATTTAATTTTTATTTCTTTCATTTTCCTGGAGCGGCCACAGAGCACCTGGGAAGAACCCACTCCACAGCATGATTTGGTTTGTAGGAGAACATGTTCTACAGCATGATTTGTTTGGGATCTAAACACACTATGCAAGAGTTCATGAATCCAGCAGGTGAAGTAATGACCTGTCACTCTGGATAAAACAGTTGTGCAAACTATCAAGACTTCTGTGTGCATTTATATGCCTTCAAGTCACCTGTTGACTTAAGGCAGTAACTTGGATTTCATAGGGTTTTTCTTAGGTAGAAATACTCAGAGGTGGTTTTGCCAGTTCCTTCCTCTGAAATATAGCCTAAAGCACCTGGTATTCATTGGCAGTCTCCCATCTAAATACTAACCATGGTTGAACCTCCTTAGCTTCCAAGATCAGAAGGGATCTGGTCACTTTAGGGGGGTTAGGTTTGGGGAGATGAGGAAGCAATTTATAGGAAGCAGCAGCTTGGAAGAAATAAGGGTGCTTTCACAGACACCTTTCTGGTATTTAGGCAGATCAAGAATTTTCAGAGAGTAAATGAGGATGTTTTAATGATATGAAAGCGCATGATAACCAAGAAAGACCCCAGGGGCATTCATTAGCCATCCCCTTTAGTAAAAAATATCCTAATGATTACTCACCAAAACTATAATGAAAAGTCACAGCCACATAGTCGCAAAAGTATTTGTTGTCCACCCAAAAAGTCATTAGACATAGACTTGGGAATTTTCTATTGTCCATTTTGCATAGTAGGCGAACCCCTCCTACACAAATGAACCTTGAGCATAAGTTTCTACTCTTTTAAACAAAGACAACTTATCTTTCTCACATAGTAACAGGGGAATTCCTGTGCATAAAGAATAACTAAATAAGAATAAAGAAACTGAAAATAATTGGCATGAGAAGTCCCGTGAGGCCAATTTACATACATTCATATGACGAATTTACAAAATGACTTATGAATTTTACTCAGTGGGATTTTTATTTTACTTTAAAAAAAAAAGAAGAGAGAGAGAGATTTTCTTTGCTAGATCAATGTTCTCTCTAATCTAGACCAAGGTTTAAGGTTCATAGTAGCTATGATGTGGATTGTGACCTCTGCTCTTATCCCTAAATATCACAGAGAACCAGACTGGGAAGATTCTCTTACTAAGCAAATAATGAGCCCTAATCTGAAGCTCATAGGAGAGAAGAGATTGCTGTGCATAAGCATTTGCAAACCCATGGAAGCAATAAGCTTTTCTCTCACTGAAAGGAAGGGCTTCAAAACATTGTAGAAAGGCGGGCTACTCTCTATGGGTGCATCTGCACTGCAGAAATAATCCGTTTTGACACCGCTTTAACTACCACAGCTCAAGGCTATGGAATTCTGGGAACTGTAGTTGGTTGTGACACAAGAGCAGAGCTCAGCGTGGATGCAGAGTATGTCTTTGTGACATGCTTTGAAGGCATACCAAAAAAGCAAATTTCTGAAAATGTAAAGTAAAATTACACTGATAGAGAGCCAGCTTGTCATAGTGGTTTGAGTATTGGACTATGGAGACCAGGGTTCGATTCCCAGCCTGGACATGAAACCAATGAGAAATTGTTGCTGTTGTTGTTGTTGTTGTGCAAGGGGGCAGTGGCCTCACTAGAGGGTTTGGGAGGTGCGGTCCACATCTGGTGACACCCCAGAAGAGGGATGACACCTGGTTGGACCTCCTCCTGCATCCCTTGCTGCCGCCACAAGTAGAGCAATGTGGAGGCACTGGAAGAGACAGTCAGGGCTACTGCCATGTTGTCTTACTCATAAGTAGGATGAGGTGGAGGCAATGAGGGAGACAGCTGGATGCATCTCCTCCTGAAGTCCCCCCAGGAGCCCTACCTCCTGCCCCGGATGACACCCAGGGTAGGGATACCACTGCAAAAAGGTATCCTGTACCACCGCACACAACTTTGTTACACCCAGTGTGCAAGAGCAGCCAAGGGTCTTCCAGTGAGTGTTCTGTTCTCCAGACCACTGGTCAAGTGTGGAGCTGCACCCAAACACGTTCCAGTTCCCCTCAAGTTCCCAGTATATTTAGAGACTCCTTCTGTGCTAGCTCTTGCATACTCAGGAGGAAGTAGAGAGAAGCCCCTCTGCTCTATCTGGCAGCAGCATAACTAATCTGGAGGAGATTTAGGTGACTATCAGATGGAGGATAGAAGTAAAGCCATCCTTATCCCGTCTGTGACAGCAATCCATGAAAGACATTCTCACATGTCACGCTGATCCTGTCATAAATCTGTCAGTGAAGTGGAACTGCATTAACAGGTTCTTCCATTAATGCAAATGAAGGACAAAGACGGGACAGTTCCACTTCACTGATGGGACAGTGACAGGATCAGTGTGACGTCTTTTGAAAGGCTTTCACACGATTGTTGTCACGCGTGCTTCTCAGATGGGACAATGGCAGGATCAGTGCAATGTCATCTGAAAGTCCTTCCCGCGAAAGGACGGGACAAGGATGCCATCTCCTATCTAATAATCTCCTACACTCTTCCAAGCGTGCTGGATGGATCTAGGCCCAGATGATAAAGCACAGGCCAGTGTGCTATCATTCAAACCAGAGAGATATGTGGAAATACCACACAAAACACTAAAAATGAATCTGGGTGCATCTGCACTGCTTGTATATAGTTAAATTAGGAAGTGGTGAGATAACACAAAGTTATGAGAAAGATAGAGACAAATGACATCAGAGGCAATAGCGTACAGAGCTGAAGGACAGCGTGTTCCTTGCTCTTGTGGACTTTTGTGGGGACTTCCAGTTTCTCTTTTACACAATACTGGCAAAGTTCACAAGAGCTGTAATACTGGACAGGAGAGAGCTGAGGGAAAGCCAGTGGGAACTTAATCTGTATCGTAAATCTGACAAAGCTTTAAACCGATGGTCATCAACCTCCCCTTGCAAATCCAAATTGCTACATGGTACAGAGTCAGAGCCAGTGTGGTTGGAGTGCTGGACTACAACTTTGGAGACCGGAGTTTGATTCCCTGCTCAGCTGTGAAACCCACTGGATGACTTTGGACAAGTCACACGCTCTCAGCCTCAGAGGATGGCAATGGCAAACATTCTCTGAACAAATCTTGCCAAGAAAAAATGATGATAGGTTTGCCTTAGGGTTACCATAAGCCAGAAACTACATGAAGGCACACATCAACAACAGCACAGAGTCTTAAGCACAGGGAGCCCTTGTTGGCTGGGAGATGATACACAATTACTTTAAATACATACAAACCCTAAAGCCACCAAATCCCATCTGATCTTGAAAGTTCAGTGTGGTCAGCCCTGGTTAGTATTTGGATGGGAGGCTGCCAACAAATGCCAGGTGCTACAGGCTGTTCCAGAGGAAGGAACCAGCAAAACCACTTCTGACTTTTGCTCGCCTAAGAAAAGCTCATGAAATTCATGAGGGTACCATAAATCGACAGGCAACTTGCAGGGACAGACATATGCACAGTCTTAATTGCTAGAGGAAAGAGGGTGATAGGCTACAAACATTTTGCTGTCTGAGAGAGACAACATCAAGTGTCACCCAGACCCTCCCAAAATTACGTTTTTGGACTATAACTTGGAAAATCTCCCAGTATGATCATTTTCCCCAGCATTTCTTAACCCTCCAAATACCTTTATTGTAGAAGTCTGCAGATTGCACCTTAAATCACTCTTCCACTTCATGAATGACATCATCTGTGATGTCAGATCAGCCCCTCCTCAATGGATTTTTCATTTTTGGGAAAAGAAAAAGTCACTTGGTGATAATGACACTGACAAAATTTCATCAATATACGGAATTTCCTTCTTTGGAGGTCTTTAAACAGAGACTGGATGGCCATCTGTTAGGAATGGTTTGATTTTGAGTTCCTGCATGACAGGCAGTTGGACTGGTTGGCCTTTGTGGTCTCTTCCAACTCTATGATTCTATGATAATTACAGGTGCCCCTTCCAATTTGCGGGAGATCCGTT